CCTGCCTCTGCCTCCCGAGTGCTAGGATTAAAGGCATGCACCACCACGCCAGGCTAATAAAATATTTTTTAAAAACTAAAATGAGGGGCTGGAGAGATAGCTCAGAGGTTAAGAGCACTGACTGCTCTTGCAGAGGACCTGGGTTCAATTCCCAGAACCCACATGGCGGCTTCAAACTGTCCTTAACTCCAGTTCTAGGGGGATCCAAAGCCCTCTTCTGACCTCCGTGGCATTGCATGACACAGGTGCACTCACATACATGCAGGCAATACACTCATACACATAAAATAAAAATAGTAAATAAAATATTAAAGAAAATAAAACTAAAAGCTGGGCATGGTGGCGCACGCCTGTAGTCCCAGCACTTGGGAGTCAGAGGCAGGTGGATCTCTGTGAATTCAAGGCCAGCCTGGTCTACATAGTGAGTTCCAAGACAGCTGGGGCCACAGGGAGACCCTGCTTCAAAAAGACAAAAACAACAACAACAGAAAAAAAAAAAAAACAACCTAAACTGGGAGGGCTGGAGAGCTAGCTCAGAGGTTAAGAGTACTGGCTACTCTTGCAGAGGACCTGGGTTCAATTCCCAGCACCCACATGGCGGCTAACAACCATCTATAACTCCAGCTCCAGGGCATCTGAGCCTTCTTCTGACCACCATGGGCACTGCATGACATAGATGCACTTACATACAAGCAGGCAGTACATGCATACATATAGAATAATAAACATATTTAAAAAATAAATAATTAAAAAATAAAATGGAAATGGGGAACCCTGGAGCAATGACTCAGAGATTAAGAACATTTGTTGCTCTGTCGGAGGACCCAGATTCAGTTCCCAGCACCCATATGGCAGCTAACATCCATTCTTAACCCCAGTTCCAACCAGTTCCAAGAGATCTAACACCCTCTTCTAACCTCCTTGAGCACTGCATGCACTTTCTTTTTTTTGGTCTTTTTGAGACAGGGTCTCAGTGTAGCCCCAGCTGTCCTGGAACTCACTATGTAGAACAGGCTGGCCTTGAACTCACAAAGATCCGCCTGCCTCTGCCTCCCAAGTGCTGGGTTTAAAGGCGTGCACCACCACATCCAGCTGCATGCACTTATGTACATACAGGTAAAACACTCATACACATAAAATAAAAATTAAAAATTTTAAAAAGAGTGAATGAGGGGATGGAGAGATGGCTCAGTGTGGTTAAGAACACTGGCTCTTCTTCCAGAAGACCCAGTACCCACATGGCAGCTAATGACTGTCAGTACTCCAGCCCCAGGGGTATCCAACAGCCTCTTCTGACCTCCCAGGGCATTGCATGACACTGGAGCACTTACCTACATGCAGGCAATACACGCATACACATAAAATAAAAATAATAAATAAAATTTTTTTAAAAAGTGAATGAAGCTGAGCATGGTGGTACAGTGAATGACCAGCATAGACAAGAGTGGGGAGCCTAGTGCAGCAGAGGTGGTGATGACCCTCAAAGGCTCTCAAAGACCACTCCTCCCAGACCTTCTCCCCCAATCCTCCCAGAGACCTTAGGCAGACAAGACACCCCATGGAGGTGAGAGAGTGGCAAATGGAATTACCAACAAAGCTCGAACGTGGGAATTGCAAAGGGGTCTGGGACTCTGAGAATGTGGGAGGGAGGTGGCCAGTGAGGCCTTAGAGCCAGTGGACTTTATTTTGCTAGTTCTTTGAAGAGTGACCTAGCCCCAGACCAGTAGCATGCTGGTATTTCTGACCTCTCAGTCCTTCCCTCCCTTGTACTGTTGATGGGCCCCATAGAGTGTAGCTGCCCAGCACCCCTGATGGGACAGAGGGTTTTTCTCTAGGAGCTGGACCTAGCTACATCCCTTTTACAAGCACCACCGCCTCAGTGCAAGCTGGATGTGGGCGGGGCCTGGGGATCCTGTCTGGAGATGGAGCCATTAGTCTGAAGCCTAGTAATGGCCAGGAGCTTCCTGGGCAGGCACTGCTGCTCTTAACCACTAACCGCCCTGCAAGTATCACAAGGTCTCACTTAAAGCCTCTGTCGAACAACAGCAGGCCACATCACTCTTTAGCGCCTCAAATTGGACCAGGCTGGATCAGCACAACGCGGGGGTGGGGGGGGGACGACACAGAGGCTAGAGAGGAGACCCAAAGAGGCAGACACGGAGAGGGAGAGAGAGAGAGGAGAGGGCGGGAGAGAGAAGAGACAGGAGAGGGAGGGGGAGAGAGGAGAGAGAGGTCGGAGAGGGAGAGAGGCCGACAGAGAGACAGGAGAGGGAGGGGGAGAAAGAGAACGGAGAGAGGAGAAACAGAAGAGAAGTGGAGAGGAAGAGGCAGAGAAAGAAGGGGGCAGGAAGAAAGGGAGGGACGGGGAGGGAGGGAGAGAAACACTGAGAGGGAGAGAAGGGGTCGAAAGGAGGGACCGGAAACCTGGAGCCTTCAGAGGCCCCGCCCCTAGCCCGGAGACGGGGCACCCATCTGTGACTGCCTCCGTAACATCAACCACACAGCGCCACCTGGCGTAAATGGATGTGATTGCGCCTTCGCAGCATGGGGTGGTAGGTAATGATGGAGGGGAAATTTGTCTCAGACCCTAGTTTAAACCAGTTCCAGTTCTGGGGGGTTGGGATTTGGATGAGGTCCTGTGGCTGATTACACCGTTCAAACATAGGGAGGCATGCCATGGGGAGTGATAGGTACAGAAGCCTGACTTCTAACAAGGTCGTGATTAGCTTTGCCTTTCATATCTCTGGGCTGGGGTGCCCCTAGGCACCCTCACCAAGTATCCCAGCCCTTATGACCAAACATTTGCCAATTACTTGACATTGGGCACTGGTACTGGAAAAGCATTGGCTAAATACCACTGAGACACAAGGAAACGGGTTGGCCTGAGCAAGGAAGGTCCAGAGCTGGAGCAGTCCCCAATTTAATGAAATCTGGGGCCCTATAGGTCTTTTGGAGTGGATGCTCCAGATTAATCTGGAATCTACCCAAGGATCCTGCAAGGTGCAGCAGGAGGTGGGGAGGGAGAGAGCAATTAAGGCATGAAAATTGTTCCCATGGGCAGTGGGGTGCTATGCATCTAGGAATGACAAGGTCAGGACACCTTTTGGAAGGTTAAAAATAGGGGAGAGTGGGTCCATTGAGGAGTCAGTAACTCCAGTTTCCCTGAACAGAACCTAAGGAAGGATTATGTGGAATCAAGGTAAATAAATGTAGGGCTCCCTAAGAATTGAAATGATAGTGGGATAAAGATGAGGAGTACTCTAGGCCAGTAAGATGATTCAGCAAGCAAAGGCAGTTGCCACCAAGCCTGATGACCTGATCCTGATCCTTGAGATCCACATGGTAGAGGAAAAGAACCAACTCCTACAAACTGTCCTCTGACCTCCACATGTGTACTTTGGCGTACAGACACACACACACACACACACACACACACACACACACACACACACACAC